GTATTGCATCACCTCCTTGCTCCTACTGCCTAGGGCGCATTTACGCAGGACACGAATCCAGGGTATTTGAGAACCTACAGAGCCAGACGCATCACGCAATATCTAGTCCGCTAGAACCAACTCGCCCTCACTCGGTTGTATGGTCAGGTTATGGTTTGTGCGGAAATATATAAGGAGTACCAGCTCTTGAAACATCGCTCCTGATCAGCGCGCGGTGGCTTTGCAGGACAATATGATGGGAAATGTATCTAGTACTGCAGCTGTTGAAATACTATGAAACCGAACTTAAATTACCCGAAGGCAACTAGGAGCAAGAGGGCGGTGCAATCGCCGCGAAATCTGGTCTTGGAGGAGTCATGCATTATTTAACATACACAGGTGCATGAACAACGAATACTATTTACTTTACTTTCTGTCAAATTACCAAGGGGGCATTTTCTGAGTTCGTATTTCAGGTATTACGACAATTTGACTCACTAACTTTTTGACTGAAGCTGAGCTCGATACACTGCATTAGGAGGTAGGAGAAAAGAAAGAAAGTTCGCAACTGTTGGAATGTCAGCCTTCCTTACACTTTCATGATGGGACCAATTCTGAAACCGTTCTTTTGATGAATTTAATGGTGAGATGCTCCTTTCGTTTCTACGCCATTAGCCAAGAGTGTTTTTTTAAAGGCAGAGTCAACAGCAGCTGTTTGAAGCATAACGTTCAGTGTCCTGTTTCCTTCCTACGGTGTGACACTCATTTATTAACGTCGGAAGGAAGAAAGGCGAGTGACCAGATACGGACTCGAACATGAAATCTCTCGGTTCTGAGCCTGATGCTATACTGAATGAGCAACCCCGGTCTACGAGCTGGCCTCGCCGTGCATCTTCCTGGTTCCGCCTCCCTTGCACTTGCACTCACTTGGACTTGCAGTCACAACATATCTGAAGTTTTACATTTACATTTTACATTATGCTTCCAAAATTTACTGAGAAGATGCCAGAATTTAACAAAGTGTAAGTGCAACTGAGTGGAAGAGCTGGCGGATCTGCGTCATTGTTTTTCCTCCCGCAGTATTAACTGCGAATACTGGCGTTTATCGTTTATCATTGTTGAACAGTTTCGGAGAACTTTAAGGATGAGAAAGGATATATTAATTTATTTTATTGACATTTTGCACTGTTAGCTGATATTAGCCCGCTATCAACTGTGTCAAAGCGAATTCCAGCCCTATGAGAAGAATGCAACAGAGAGCATGACCGGTACGTCTTACTACTCTGTCACAACCATATCGAGACACTTCGCTGTCTCTACTACATGCTGGTCAATGACTTGCTTGCTACCCGTTGTTCGACTCGTTGCATTACGGAATGTTGCATTACGGAACGGAATGAATTCCTTGCTTGGCAATGGGACAACAGGTAATAACAGAAACTTGAAACGTGCTTCAGGGTTTCAAGCCAGTAACTCTGAAATGCAAATCAAACTGCTAGCCTTCAGGACTACTGCCCACTACCAACCGCTTTAAATAGAAAATTTTGTACAGAAAACCACAAAGGAAACTAATCCGATCAGCTTTTCAACCAATAAAACATCTCTGATGGACAACTATTACTAACTAGACTAACGTTAGCAGCGCAACATTGACGCCGACTTTAAAAACAAGCTTTGTGTTTATGCGAACAGCACGCGAAAAGCGTCTCTTGAATATTCTGAAAATTTCTGATTTACAAGATCTGCATCTGCAACGAAGTGAGCTAACAACAGCAGAAAAATCCGCTCATGGCCTTCACACGCATGCCGATCACGTCGCACTAGGCTGCGAACCTTTCTCGGAAGTACTGTAGATCAATTTCAGAAGATGCGAATAAAACGAGGTCGTCTGCAAACAGCAACCTTCTTGCCTTCATATCTCCTACACTGAGAGACTCATCGTCTTGGCTGCTCCTG